ATAGAAAGCCAAAGAACTCATTCTCTCTCAAGTATCATCCGATTTTTCTTCAAGATCTTCAAGAATGTAAGTGTTTCTTTCCTTGATTAGTTGATATCTTTCATTATCTAGTGATCTAGATGATTTCACCCATGAAATCATTCCATTTTCTTAGATCTTCAAGTGTTCTTCATTTCACCAAGAACACCAAGAACACACACTAGTGTTCTTGAGCCGTGAACCCCTTACAAGCTTCTATATTGTAAGTACTCTTAACTTAGCTTGTTATAGGCTTGAATCACTTGTTAAACAACTAGAAAACATCAAGAAACGCAAGATCATAAGGTGTTTACGGCCAAGGCAATCTCCTTGGGCCGTAAACCCTAATAAGAGGGGCATTATGAGCCCTAGTCCCTTCCTAAGCCTTGGTTACAAGTCTAGATCACTTCCAAGAAGAGTTTAGGACCTTAAACAACAAAAGAATCAAGAACACATGGAGTTTACGGCCGTAAACTCATGGGGAAATGACCATGGGCCGTAAACTCTAAAAGGTGGTGAAATTGTGCCACTATTACTTCCTAAGGCTTGGACTTGATCATAGGATACTTAACCTTGACTTGTAAGACCTTAAATTACAAAATGGTACATTATACCATGAGTTTACGGCCGTAAACTCATGGGTCGTAAACTCACATGGTGTTACCATTTGGGCCGTAAACTCCTAAGTGAGGCCCTACAACCCTTAGAAGCAACCCTTTGGTACTTCTACCACTTGAATCAAGTGTTTTCCATGTCCTAGGGTGTCTTAACTTGGTTAATTAGTTGTTAAATGACTAATTAGATACATATATGTGTCATTATATGTTAAATAGGATCCGTGTGTGTGCTCAAGTCTTCACTTGACACTTAGCATCCTATACCATCCGTTCATCCAAACCACTCACTACATGTGAGTTCATACCCCTTAATCTACCTTTTAAATGATTTTAAATGCTTTTATGGGGGAGAATACAAGTTGAACTATTATAGTTATTATATCAATCATATGTGATTAATAACTACCAAACAAGTGGATTTCTTACTTTTCAAACTGTGTTATCAAACAAACTACTTCAAATCGTTTTACAAACTCTTTTACATGTTAAATACTTTCAATTCAAACTCTTTTTAACTTATATTTTGACAAATGCATATCTATATAGATATAGTTATATAAGTAGGATTGAAAGGACTTAGGACTGATAGCTCGCCTTGCTTCCTGTTCCTTGTTTGGTTGTGGACTTAGGGTATCGGTTATTTGTCCGAAGGTCGTTTGAATCTTAGTTATATATTATGTATATGTGTATAGATATAAAAGTTCCTTCATTAAGTTCAGTGCCTTTGGGTAGCAAACGTACACAATCATGTCCATTCATACAAACAACATTACTAGTAAACTATAATAGGTATAGTTTAGGAAGTTACTAATACTATTACTAGAACAATGAAACATACAATGAGTCAGTTCATACATGAGTCAATACATACTATGATGAGAAACAAACATAAACATACAGATAGAGAATACTATGATGAGAAACAAACATAACATACAGATAGAGAATACTATAACGAGAAACAAACGATAACGTACAGAGAGAACATACATACATACTAGACAGAGAGAACATACAATACAGCTAGTACATACAATACATATACAAGAACGTTACAATAGTTATGTGAGCCACGTAACGGGGCATGGCATCACCTGTCATGGCTCGTTTTGTATCCAGAGTCTCCTATAAGGAGAGCGTTGAATTTGTGTATAGATCTATACTGGATTGACTATCCTACACCTTGTTGCTCGCTACAGTGGGACTTGTAAGTCTACGGGTGCCAAATGTCATTTCTTCCGACGTCTTTCATCGTAGTGTTTTTAGTCGGTAGTATGGTACAGGCATATCACATGTTACTTTAAATAACAATTGGTTTAAGGTAATTAGTACAGCAGTAGTTACTATAATACAACACTACAGTACTTTATTATTTTCCCTTTGCATTCACATTGTGATCTTTTCACATAAAAGATAATGTAAAACTATATTTTTGGTTAATGATAGTCATACTTGGGAAAATACACACTTTTACAAGAAACAAACATACATGTCATTTGATGTCTTGGTAGAAGGCTACGTTTAGTAGAAAATATAGGATTTTCTAGGAGATACAAACATTTACAAACATTTACAAACTTATACATCAAGTACATACAAACACTTTCATACAAACAATGACACTAAAATACTTATGAACTCACCAGCTTTAAAGCTGATAAACTCTTTCAAAATAACTTGTATTCTTAGGTCATCAGTAGACAGGTACCGATGCCAGGCTTTTGAGAAGATGGAGCACATTCAAGACTCATCTTATATTTTGATTTACATTTTTGGTGTCTTATAACTTTACAGAACACACTTGTATGAAATTATATTATTAATGCAATGGATGATGTTGTTGCTTGTTTACTACTATTCTTTGTTGTGATATTGTACATGACGTCCTCCACCCCTGAACGTTTCCGTCGTTCCGGTTTTGGGGTGTGACACAAGCAAACCAGGATAATGGGTTGCCAAACTGAAAACATCCCACAAAGACCTAACATGGGCCCAATGTATTTTATGCTAAATTTTCAAAAACTTATTGTACCTTTTTAATAGCCATCATGCCTCTATATGAGCCTAAAAGTCGGCATGAGGCAATAAGCAAAGAAATCTAAGTTCTTGAAGAAAATGGAACTTGGAACATAATGGCAATGCCACTTGTAAGAAAGCAATAGAGTCAAACTGGGTTTATAAAATCAAATATAAACCAATTTTTTTAGGTTGAGAATATTTTCCATTTCATATAAATTAATTATCACAATACAAAGAGTAAGAAGGTAAACGAGCAATAAGCTGTGCCGCTAAACCTTTTTGTATGGTAAAACCAATTCTTCTGAAGACTACATCTATAGATATAGGGGATATAACATTGCTATGCATGATCCGTTGTACTCTATAAAGAAGCTCCACCGCATCTGGTGCGAGGAAGCCAAACGTATCAAACGCAAATGGTATGAACACGTGTTGATTTTCCAAGCACGATTTCTCGTATTTTGTGACTTTGCATATGGCAGCTTTTAAAGCAACATGACCCGCCTTGAAACCCCCAGCCCTCAAGCCTACAAGAGGAGATACCTATGTAAGGTCCACACAAGCGTGTTTCCCTCCAACCCATCTAAAAACCAAAACATTAGCTGGTCTTAGGGTTGACCTTCCTTCTGTCGAGTCAGTCAAGAAATTTGCAAGTGCTTCATTCTTGACAGAAACCCTGACACGCTTAAATATGTCAAACAAAACATCCCTAACCATATTGTGCTGGTATTTGAACCCCGGAAGTTCTTTATAATGAACTGCATGCTCTCCAAAAGAGTCCAAACACGCCTTGTGGTACACCGGACACATCTCGTCAGCTGGAAATATAGGAATCATTAGCTGATATTTAAGGATGGTGTGTGATACTCCACAGGAGACATATGTTGGTCAAGCCCATCTATAGGGTTGGCTAGAAGAAAATCTTGAGCACGTGGTGCTTGTAAACACTTGAAAACTGCTTTTATCCGAGCCGTCATGTCAAAATGCATTTTCATATCTTCAACAATTCTACTAAAAAGAGCACTCACCGGTGTATGTTGGAATTTAGGGATATATGCAAGTTGAAGGTGTAGGTTTTTATTAGACCTTTGCCCATGTAGCTAAATTGGGGAATGCTCTTGAAGAAAATGGAACTTGGAACATAATGGTTATGTCGCTGGTAAGAAAGTAATAAAGTCAAACTGGAAATATAAACCAAATGAAAAAAGTAGAACAATCTAAGGCTATAAGCAAGTTGAAGGTGTGGATTTTCATTAGACCTTTGCCCATGTAGCTACATTTCATGTTCTTCGATACCTTAAAACTACATCGGGACAATGCTTATTTCTACCATCAAGTGGAAGCTTTGATCTTATGGCATATTATGATGCAAGTTGGCTCTGAGTCATTCAACTACCTGACTATCATGCACATGTTATTTATTAGCCTTGTGGTGCACCAGTTTCGTGGAGAACCAAGAGAAAAAGTGTTGCGTTATGATCTCCAACTTACGTCTAATATAGAGCAATGGAAACTACACTTTTCGAAGTTACTGTTGAGCTGGCTCAGACTTAGGTTCCGTTTGATAGTTTCTGTCTGGGAAAGTGCTGTCTGGTAAAGTGCTGTCTGGGAAAGTTTTCTGACTGGGAAAGAAACCATTCTGTTTGATTGTACATCTGATTGACTGTGCTGAATGATGAAAAAAAAAATTCAATAAAAAATAAATTTTAAAAAAGTTATTTAAAAAAAATTAATAATCCAAGAAAGAAAGAAAGAGGTCGGGTTTGCTGTATAATTGTCTTTCCAGCCCATTCAGCCAGAAAGATATGATTTTGGAGCTTTCTAGGAAAGACATATCTTACCGGGAAAGACCATTTTTTTGTGCAAATCAAACAGTCTTTCCGGTCCATTCAGCCAGAAAGATCTATTTGGACCTGGAAAGATGCGATCAAACGGGGCCTTAGATTCCAAGCAATCAAATGCCACTCCATTAACGTGGGACAATGAAGTTGCACTCCACATTGCAATGAACCTAGTCTATCATGAAAGAACAAAACCATCGATGTATGATGGTAATAAGATCATTTATCGAAAATTGATATTTCTACATATTTTTTTTACAAATAATTTGCTCTATTTAAATAAAAAGCATGCTTAGTTTTGGTCCACCGACCTCGAAATTGAATGATTTAAATAGACCATGAATCAAAACTTTCGAGAAAAAAACGGATAAATTACAAAGAAGTAACTAACGACCACCATCTTTGCTACAACTACTCCCAACCCCACACGTAGACTATTACCTTGCAATTCCAAATCTATCAAAACCATCATCACGGATAATTGTACAGTATGCATAAGATATATATGCAAGATTTAAGAAAAGTAGGGCCAAGATCACCTAAAGAGTTTCGGATTATCGCATGTATTGAAGGAAACAAAAAGATTCTTTTACAAGGTAAAATCAAAAGCCATACCCATGATCCATGGGGGTTGGCTTTTGATATAAGCAATCAGCAAATCCTTAATTTTTGAGACCTAATCCCCAACGATCATTGCCTCTTGTTATCTCGTAAATCAACAAAAACAAGAGACGTTTACAAAGTTCATCGATATTTGTTTGATTACCCTTCGTTTTCTTTCTCTTCTACGACCTACATTAATTCATCTTCATCGGCGCAACCAGGTACATTATTTCTAACGCCTACCATATATCTGGTTTTCGTCATTAATGGTGAAAATGTGTTTGATTTCCTTATTGGGTACCTCCTGTTTTCTCATCAGCATCGGTTTTCCTGGTTTCTTCTTCAATTCATAACACAATAATCAATGAATGAGAACAACATGAATCCACCAACGGCGATTGAACCCACCAGCAACAGTTTAAAAGAAGCACTTTGTGCTCAACAACGCCTCCTCCAAAAACTTTACAATGAATTGGATGTTGAAAGAGAAGCTGCTGCTACCGCAGCCAGTGAAGCATTATCCATGATACTTCGTCTTCAAGGAGAAAAAGCCGCTGTAAAAATGGAAGCCGAACAATACAAAAGGTTAGCAGAGGAGAAAATGAATCATGCCGAGGAATCTTTCCAGGTATTTGAAGAAATTATGTACCATAAAGAAATGGAAATCGCTTCTTTAGATTACCAAGTTCAAGCCTATCGTTACAAGCTAGTAAGCTTAGGAATCGATGATCTTGGAGCCAACGAATTCAAATTCCCTGAGAATTTATTACAACGAAATGAAACCCTAGTTGGGGAAACAAGCTCAGATGTTCATGCTATCACCAAAAAGAACACTCCACCTCCAAAACGTTTAAAGTTATCAAATTTGAAGAAGGGTACTGCTACTCTTAAAAGGGATAGATCGATACAAGACGATTCTGATACGATTGCAAAAATAGTGGAAGAAAGTTCACGTGAACGTGAAGATGAAAATAATCAAGGTTTTGAATTTGGTTTGAAGACCGAAGGTTCTACATCTGTTGATATCAATTCGTATTTGGAACAAATACGAAAACTAGATAAATTAGTAGAAGAAATGGCGGGAGAGCAGAACTTTTGTTCATTTGCTAAAACTTCAAGATCTTCATCAGTTCGCTCTAAACTTAACGAATTGGATCGAACGCAAAGTGCAATGAATTTCCAAAAGTGGACAGATGAAAAACTATCTTCCAATACATGTTCGACAAGTGTCCATGATGTCTTTGAAGTTCCTCAGATTAAGGGATATGAAAAACCATATGAGAAAGACGAAGAGAAATCGATTAAAGATGATGAAAAAAGTAAAAAGTTGGTTGCTTTTCATATAGAACCTGTAAAATCATATGAAAAGGAAGAATTTTTTTCAGGGAAAAAGCCTTTACTTCCGAAACATAAAGACAAAAAGGTGTTTTTGCCTGGAGATGGTATTAATGTTGACTGTCATATGGCGCTATTTCGGCATGCCACGTGTGCTGCTGAGATTGCTGAGATAGCTGAGGCGGCTGAGGCTGAAACTGAAAATGAAACCGTAGAGCAAAATGTAAGACAAGAGGGACAAGAATTGAGATTGTTGTATGAGATTCGTGACAAATTAAATTCAATACAATCGGATATTAGAAGCAAAGACACAAAAGTCAACAAGTCTTCTCCAAATTGCGACTTACCCATGCTTCAACTTAGAGAGGTATGTAATCACTTTTCTCATATGAATAGATAGTAAGAATTTAAGGCCCTTTATAAAACCTTGTCGCTTATGAATATGTCATTGTTAGTATTCAACTTGTTTATTCGGCCTTTGAATGGTTAAGCTCTTAACAATTAAGAGGTTCGAATGATTCAACACTAAATGGTTCAGTTTTATCAAACAACCTAAATAAAAAGTTTCATCACTTTATACCCCTTAAGTTGTGCGCTTTTTATGATCATGATTAACGAACGGTTGTTGATATTTATGGACACAGGCAATGATGCATTTCTGGTTTTGACCAATTTCCTCAAGCTCAACGAATGGCTACTTACAACATAATTTACCAAGTAAGAGAATACTTGTTGTTTACTACAACTTTTGACATGTCATGAAATCGGTATCTTCGCCAACTAGACACAAAAGTCAAGGAACCTCCCGTGTTGACATCTTTAACACAAGGATTGTAAGTTGTTCTAGTGACTTGTATACAATTATAGTGATGTATTTAGTATAAGTTCCATTCACTTGTATATAATCATGCTGCTTTGTCAAACTTATTGTTGCTTGCAGATTATATTAATATTTTCATTACTTCTTATTGTGTTTGTTATGATATAGTTTCTTATTTCAACATTCTAGTTTAAGAGTGAAGTTCATGATAATTTACAATGAAATTCACAATCGTCACTGACTTTTGACTTGATGTTGAAACTAATATAAAAATTCATCCTGAGCCATATTTGAGTGACTTTTAACTTCTTGTTACATTTGATATCGCAGGACCTCATTGTTATTTATTGTGAATCAATTTTGAATCCCATTATTGTTATCATAAGTGACTTTTTACTTGGGCTATGTTTGCCATGCGCTAGCTGAAAAAATAGTTTTTAGCTTATAAACTAGCTTATCAATAAGTTATCTCGAGTAACTTATAAAAAAGTTAGTTTATAACCTAATATAAACTATTTTTGTGGTCTCACCAAACACCATGCAATAAGCTCAAAATAAAAAAAATTACGCGCGCAAAATAGAGCCCTGGTGCTAGAACAAATAGAAAATTCATTTGTGGACCATCATAATTTATCGTTAACCATCATTTATGGAATAGTTAACTTGGTACCTATAAGTGTGGTTCATTTAGATAATTTGTGTTGTATGATAGAGAAAATTAGATAGATGGTGAAACATCAACGAAAGGGTGAAGGCGAAATAGGGTTTCCATGAAAGGGTGAGGGTGAAGGAGAAGCAGTTTCTTTGGATATGATGTAGAATGGTTCTTATGGTGGTGGTACGCCGACGAAAGCGTGAGATAGGATTTCTGTGAAAGGGTGGGGGTGAGATACGATGTGACTGGTCAAATATTATAATAGCATTTATTCTAATAAACGAAAAAAAGATAGAGAAGTTAAAAGGAATCGGTAAGGGGGGATTAGTAATTTCATGTCTTACGGATCAAAATCGAAACAAACCAAATGGATCGTCCGAATGAACATTTATTTATGAGGACAAAACCAATATGTTAGACAAATCACATGGACAATTTATGTGATTTACTATAAGGTTGGGGAGTAGAGCTTGATAAGGCACATTTAGAGCTTATGTTGTATGACAAACATCGCTCCTTGTGTGTGTTATGGCAAAATGGCAAAGAAGCTTTGCACCCCCTCGTTGAATCTCTTTAATCCCTCTCTTCTCCCAAAATGACTATCTTCTACTCACTGCCCTTGGGTAAAAATGGTGGCAAAGTGAGGTAGAGTTCGACAAGGGCACCACCACTTCCCCAACCTAAATCATATGATATCATTGTAAAACTCATCATGAAATATCGTAATTTCTTGTGAACTATATTGAAATGAATTTTGACTTGGGACTTGTATGTTGTGGTGAAATAAATTGACAGTAATTGACTTTGTGGTGAAACTTGTTTGCCTTAAACAGTTAAGATGAATTTTATTGTTATTATTAAATAATTAATTTTCGAGTTCATAAAATTTGTTTTATGGTTGTAACAATATTAATGCTTGTAAATTTTTATGTTTTTTTTCTAAAGAGATTTTATGATGTAGTTGTTAAATAATAAAAAATAATCATTGACAATACATCTTATACGATACATAAATATGTTTAAATTTATAACATGATTGGTAAAATCAACTGCAAACTTAAATTTTATTGGTGTAAAAGTGTTCGTAAAAAAAACAATTGTTAATTTTAAAAATGTAAAAATTACATAAAAAAAACAAATGCAAAAAACTCTCAAAAACTAAAAGCAAAAAACTCACAAAAGTTCTCAAATTTTGTATGTCATACAAGCCTATAATAAGTTATATTTAGAGAAAAAGACAAATCAAGTTAATCATATAAAACAATTTCCAATATTTAACCAAAAACTAGCAAAATGACTCAAAATAGTCATTATTTTTGTAGGTGGTACCTATGATTTTCGCAGCTAGTAATCTGAGAAAATCATAAATTTTACTCAACTTTGAACTGTAACACTTGACTCATGGGATATGTTTTATTTAATTAAGTTTTTTAAGTTTTGGACTAGAGCGTGGCACGACAAAGGCTGTCACGGCACGCTGGACACGTGGCAGGGCGTAGAGTTGGAAAATGAAACCCTAATTTTCGGGTCTTGAGCCTTATTTAAGGGCATTTATCTCTAGGGTTGCCCCATTTGGCAACCTCTATTTCCTAAAGAACATCCCTATTGAAAACCCTAACCTTCATACTTTAGTTCTTGAGTTTTGTTTTTATTTGTGAAGCTTGAAGGTGAATGAAGTCCTTTTTGGTGCAAGGAAGCCTTGTTCCAATGTTGATTCAACCATTTCACCACATATCTGGACCATTATGAGTATAAAGTTCCTACCTTGATATTTATTTCTTTTATATATAGATTTTGTATGGCATTTTGGTCTCATTTGGTCCATTTTCATGGTGTCCTGGAGTTTAGAGAACTCCATAACCATATGAATGATTTAAAGGGTTAATGTCGTTTTAACCCAGCAAAGTTATGACATTTGTTTTAAAATGTCACTAAATTTTTTTCTTACAATAAGGGAATAAAGTGGTGTTTTACCATTTCAATTAGTCCCTCTACCGGTAATGATAGGTTTCAAAATCCACGTGTGTCAATGATGATGACATGGACGCTAAGTAGCAGTTGATTCAGCTGACATTGTGCATAACTTGTCCCCCAAGATTGCCATGTAAGTCGTGGGCCCCTTATATAAAGAATGTAATCCCCATATGAGAGATTTAGTCCGGCTTTGTTACCCTAATCGACATCGGTGTTAGAAACTATGTAACACCCCAAAATATGAAGATAAAAATTTCATTTTTAAAACAATCAAAACACCCATTTATCATTTACTAAAACACTTAAAGGTATTTTATAATAAAGTAGTTATCAGAGCACAATCCCAAAATCTCAAGGTTGCGGAAAATATGGGTGTATGCGCTGCAATCAAGCCGGGCCCTTCCCTTCCGAACCGGAAGTACCTGAAACCATAAACAACGACTGTAAGCACAAAGCTTAGTGATTTCCCAAATACCACATAAACAACGACTGAAACCATAACATACGAGTCATACTTATCAAACATGCAATAGGAGGTGCTATGTGTCAACCATAGTCTTGTCATTATGTCACAAGTCGTATCATGGTCTTTCCTTGTCAGGTAGGGGACCAAAACCCTGGGTCTTACAGACAAGTTCCAGGATCCACCTTTGGGTCTTCCATGTAACCATCACAAAGACAACTAGCATACCATCTACAACTACTTATCTACTTAACTACCAGAGTCCAAACTCTGGTCTTGTATACAGATTTGCCAGGAGCCACTTCATACAAATGCCAAGGGCCACCCCCTGGTCTTCCTATAATACATAAACCAATAGGTTGGCATTGGTGCCTTCGACCCAATAGTACAGTGAGGAGACTCACCTCAGACAGTTGAAACCCACGGATAAAAATCTGACTGCAGATCCGCTAAAATCCACGCGCTATCAAATACCAAAATGACAACCCATCAATAACTAGATCCTGACTCACACTAAGAGTCCAAATCAGGGTAAAAGATCTTTTACCCTTCCTCTAACTTGGCCCAAGGACAAGACCTAATCTAGATGACCCAAAAGCCCAAAATCTAACACAAGCACTCCAGGCCAAAATATGACCCAATTTTCCAAATTGGGCCCAATCCCTTTCATAGGCCTTCACCCTAGAGAGTCCAATAAAGCCTCAGTAGCCCAACCATAAAATCCAGATAGCCCAACATGGCCCAAGACAACCAAGCCCATCCTAGCCCAAAGCCGAAAGCCCAAAACAATGAAACCCAAGCCTGCTGAGTACGAGGGGCGTACTCAGCCTGTACGCTCATCGTACTGCATGAAAGGCTTGTACGCGCAGCGTACAAACTTGTACGCCCAACGTACTCACCAATCATGTTCAACTTTTCCAATTCGGCTCTTAATCCATTAAGACTTTGATCTAAACTCATATCTGACTTCCCCAAGGTGGTTAATCACATAAAGTTGTCAAGTTTATGTGCATGCATGGCTTAATGGGGCTCTAGAGCTCAAAGGAGCTTAATAAATGACTTAATACTTGCATGAGACCAAAACCACCATAAAGTTTGCACCTTTATGCACAAGTCACCCTTAACATGTCCAGGTCTATAAGGCTAAGCTCCAAAAACGTCCTTAATTCCCAATCACCAACCAAAAGGACCAAAATGACCAAAAACATGCCAAGGAGAATATCTCGGAAATAAAATGGCAAGGTTTGAACTTTATACCTCACAAGCCACCAAAAGAGAATGATAAAGCTGGACCTTAAAGCCCTCCTCCAAAGAACAAGTCTTCAAGCTTCTTATTCTTCTTCTAGATACACAAAACCCTCCACAAAAACTTCACAAGAGCTCAAGATCATCAAACATGGGCTATGGAACGAATTAGGGTTTGTAGGATATGGAGGTCGGCTAGGAAATGATCAAAAGAGGCTAACATATGGCTTATATAGGGTACAACTTGAAAAATTAGGGTTTCTTATCTCCCCCTCGTACGCCACGCATACTCCTCGTACGCCCAGCATACGAGGCTTCGGACCCGCAACCATCTACCATTAGTACGCTAAGTGTACACATGAGGTACGCTGAGTGTACCCTGTTGTACGCCCCGCGTACTACTCACAAGGGTCAAATTGCAAATTTATCAAATCATGAAGGGCAACTAGGAACATATTCATTTCCAAGCGTTACAACTCTCCCCCATTAAAATTAGATTCCATCCTTAAAATCGCTCCTTATCATTACCGGCACACCAAACAGCTTAAACGACCAATCACCACCCCACGCGTACCACAGCCTTCCCAAAGGCAACCGAACCCAACCCTAGAAGAACTTCTCCAACCCGATGAAGAACAAATAAGTTATGACCGTTTGAAGCTAGGAGGGTTTTGGGCTTAGTCTAGTACATTGGGCGTACTAAGTACACTAGGCATAAATTGAGTACGT